TGGTAAATTGCAAGAGGGATAACCCTCCCTGTTTAGGTGCCTGCTTTTCCCTCTTCTGGGGGAAGAAGTGACACACAGTGGGAACAGATCTGCCTCCATAACGAGAAGTTTACACAGCTCCTCTCATCACTCCATCAGAGAGGTGTGAGCTCTGGCGGATTAGCTGTCAAAAACAGTCTCTTAAATCACATCTTGCTTGAACTAGAGAGGACTACACTACCACAAGAAGAAAATGTTTCCATCATGTGTACATACTGAACAGTGCATCCAATGTAGATGTGGTACTGAACCCCTGGCTCGTTTCAGTGTGCTGTTTAGAAGCCTACAGCTACCAGGTAAACCAGTCACATCTAAGGCCTTGAAAACCTAGGGAAAAAACCTAGAGAGAACACGTTAAGAAAATGGGGAAAGGGGAAGCATCTGTTGTTCCATCTTCACCACGTTGCCTGCAGGAGGAAAGTTAAAAACAAGCAAAGTAAATAGAGCTACAAATTCCACTGTAATAGAGCTATCTAGGAGAGTGACCTGTGAAAAGACTGGAGTGAACACACAGAGCTCAGAGACCATGAACATCACACATGAGACTCACAGACACACCAGCTCTGCAGAGGCTTCACCTGGAGGGCACAAACTGAGGAGTGGCAGGACAGTGGTTGAAAAAGCTCTGTCAAAGATGCTTTAAACTCTACTCCAGGACAGTCTCTAAAGTGATAATCAGCTCAACACAAACTGCTAGGATAAATGATAACCTCAGTTTTGCTCTTCATTCTGACCTTTGTTAGCTACTGTATCCCAGACGCTGTCATTACTGCTTCTAGTAACTACTACTACAGCCTGTGTTTCCACTGTGTTCCCTTCTTCAAAAACAGAGGCCAGCACATACCGTGTTGCTTCACCATAACTTGTCTATGTTGAACTAAATTAATTAACTTTGTATTTTGAAAGTTCTTAATTGCTCCCTGCCTTCTCACAGCTCAAAACTTAGTTTCATTTATCTCTAACAAGACCATTTGCTCTGTTTTATTCTCCGTATGGCACAAACAGCTGCTTCAACCTTCTTAGAAGAAATTTTCATATACAAAATGCAGATTCTTCTTAGAATGGCATGACCTTTAAAAAATATTAATGAATCTTATATTAGCATACCACTTCTAGAAGTAATGACGCTATGAAGATTGCAGATTTAAGAGCTTATCTAGTTTCTTTTTAGTGAGCACAGAGGGACACTCTGGATCATGCCTGAGTTTAACATTAAGAACTTAAATTACCTGCTTCAAGATTTTGAGAGACATCCTTTGTGGCTTTTGAACATGAAGTATTAATATTAATAATGCAAATCTCAGAATGCATTCCTCATTTCCCTCGATGATTCAGAAATACCTCTGCACTCAATTTTCTTCCCACCTCACCTGGGACAGCAGCAACAACCTTTTTTCAACCACAAAGACAGCTGCTTCTCCTTTCATAAAATTAATGCCTTAAAGGAGACTATTGTACAAATGCCTCAAACTTCCAGCCGACAAACTTTAAAGTCAGAGGTTAGTGGGCTACATAGCAATCTGGGTTTTCATTCCATCTCCTGTCTCCAGCCACTCCCTTTACACAATTCTGTCCTACTATTTTGTATATTCTGTGACCTTACTTGCTAAAGACTCTTCTTTCTGGACAAGTCTGAAGATGATGCTGGTTTATTGCTTCTAGTCTTTCATTTTCAGTTTGCTTAACATTTCCTATAACATTAACATTTACAGAAGCACAAGAAACAGGGCATTAAGAATTAGAAAGTCTAACCACAGCATAAGATATAAAGCACCTAAATTCCTTCTGAAAATATTCAGTTTAGGACAAAAAAACCTCTCAAGTATATTTGCTCCTAAAACTGCTAAACAGCATGTACTGAATGCAGTCTAATACCTACTCAAAAAATGCTTACAATATCATCACCCCAATAAGTTCTGTTGATAAATCTATACAGTATTTTAGTTATAGAAAGTTTTGAAGTTTTCTGTTTGCATTCCAAGAGCAGCCTGATGGCAAGCCAGCACAAGCTCTCAAAGAGATGCTATCCTTGAAAAAAATGGGTACCTGTTCTTGTCCCTATCAAACCCCTCTGTGGGGATTTTGGCTGTGCAGTGGTGAGTGTACAGGATTGCCTCATTTCCCATCATAGTAGCTGGAAGGCTTGGATTGTTCTAACAGAGGAGACCAAGTAGCAGCCTGTCTCTTCCAACAAGTGGGGCATTTAGGTAGCACATGCTTCTCTCTTGTTTGGGATTATTGGTAAAGTTACAGTGCAGATGTGTACCTTTATAAAAACAAGTCTTTGTAAACACTTCTGTTGCCAATATTATGTTGTAAATACCTCAGAAGAAAGATGCTTTGTTTTTTGAGGTAGGCGTTGGCTGCACCTGTATTGCATTTAACATTCCAGCATTTTTGCTTAAATGAGCATGGCTGGAAATATCAGTAGCCATCATGTGATGAAATTCTGTTACGCAAATCATCTCCCATCTTACCTGGTTACCTTTCTCTTTTTATTTCGGGAAGAGAAGTTGATGGTTCTAGTCAATGCTAAAAAGACATAAAAAATTATTTAGCTATTGTTGTGGTTTAACCCCAGCTGGCAATTTAGCCCCCCACAGCTGTTCATTCATGAAAGCTTTAACCATTTATCAGTGGAGAGACTGTGAATTTGATTACAAATCAGGTTTTTAGTTCTGAGTTACTACTGAAACATTCCATTTACCTGGTTGCTACTTATATATGGTTATGTGAAGCCACAGAATAGACTTGTCAGTAAAGCAACACCCAAATCCCTCCATAATGAAGAATTTGGCTTAAAGTCAGCTTGGTAGAAAAAGGCTGACTTCACAACAATGTCCTGAATTTTGGTCTTGTTAATTTCTTAATTGCTAAAATATGTAGAACAATTAAAGACTTCAAGATTTAAGTGATATTTGTTTCAAGATTTAAATGTGCAGTGGGTTGAGTTCTATGGAATTAGGAATATATAATTTTTTACTATCTTAATTATCACAGCCATACTGAGAATCTCTATTAACTGCTTATATCTAGACACCCTTTTCAATGATAATTATTGTCATCAAAATCTCTCACTGGTTATTTGAAAAAATAAGATGTAACAAAACCAGCAGAAAACTGTCTTTATCTATCTTTTTTAGTCACCAGTAAAAAGAGAATTTCAAGGGCTGCATGCTGTACTAGTCATTCCGCACAACTTGCCTGCCTATACCTTTCCTTCTCGTGTTTTGCAGTAGCTTTGCTGACACTGAATTACCATTTAGCCTGTGCCATGTACCTGGTACAAATGCAGGTTTTAAATTCTTCAGTAAATTTTAGCCATGGTCTGCTAATATGAAAAGTGTTGGTGATGGAATGGAAAAGATTTTTTCAGGCAAGCCAGGCTGAACAGGTTTTGCTGTTACTGGCTTAGATTTCATCATGTGCTCAAAGCTCTTTGGGCCAAACGTTCTTCTCCATTTAGAGTTCATCCAAAGCAATGTAATGTTTCTGTTGGTACACCGAAGCTGTAAATTTTTATTCAGTTAACAGCAAGTCCCTTTAATTTTAATGTCAAATATTATGCTTCTAGTTTACTTAACTAGTTCTAGTTTATATATTTTATGTAAATAGTTCTTTTATCAAACAACTGGCAAAATCTAGTTGGGTAATACTAATGATTGTTTTCCTTTTAAAAGAAAATATAGAACTTCTCTACAAATTAAAGTATTGATTGGCTGTTAACCAGCAAAAATGTTGATTTTAAAAGTACAAAATGAGGGCTTACATCCATGTGTTTCAGTATTCAAAAGAAGCCTGAAATCATAAAAACAGACAACATCATTGCTCTGTTCCATTCATTTTTCTCTGCATCAACTGAACTGTAGAAGTCCTCCCTGAGACTCTTAGCAGTGATGTGAACTAAAAGCCTTACTACAGTCTGAACAATTGAGGTGTGCCAGTGGTGAGGCAGGGCTTTCACAGAGCACTTTGAAGATAATACTGTCTGTAGCAAGTGCTGTTAGTGATCTGATTCTTGAACCTTGCTAACGTCAGCCCTGGCAAACAAAAAAGACTGTCAGACGTTAGCAAGCTTCACAATATTTGGATATTGCTAGGTAGGAATGTAGAAATAAGCTTTCAGGGCTAAATTTGGTAGATAAAGGGTTGACCCAATTTGGAAGGCTGCTGATCCAGTGCAAGAAACAAGCCAAATCCCAAACCTGAAATATGAACCCTTTGAAAATGCAGGACAATATATGTGCACCAGAGTGAAGCCTTTCTGTAATTCCAGTCTAGGTGGCTTGTAGATACTGCTTCCACCTTATAAGGCTACTAGGTCATAGCACAGTCTGTTATCTGAGACCCAAATCTTATTAGATTAAGCTGTGAGAATCAGATGCTGCCAAACCTGAACTTTTGCCTTTTTTTAAGACTCAGCTCTGCAGTGGATCCCTGCTTGAAGGACTTTTTTTTTTAAAAAAAAGCACACTCTGTGAACCTTGATACCACATTGAATTTGTTGACTTCTTAATCTTGATTGTTATCTGGAGTCTCTGTAACTTAATTATCTAGATATAACAGATACTGAGAAGTTAATAATAAACTCAGAAATCTGCTGCTTAACCAGCTGTCTTGTTAATTATGTTAACAACACGCTGGCAATTGCTTTGATTAAAACACCCTGGGTTTGGCTTGCCTTTTCAGGCCCAGTTCACTGTCTGTGCAGATTCATTTCAGCTGTGCTCTCTGTCCTTCCAAGCATGTAGAGGAGCACACCGGGTCACCTGAAGAGGCTGCTGTGAAGCACAGGACAAGCACTGCATGGGAGCATCCCTGTATACTCCAATATTCCACAGCAGCTGCTTCTGTTTAACTGGTAGGACACTATGCAGCCAATTGCTGCCTGATTTTGAGTAAACTGCTTCTCGTAATAGGAAGGGCTGGTTTTTTTCATCTGTTGAAGTCCAATACAAAGGCCAAATCTCCACCCATTCTGAACAGAGCATTCCTTTTGCTCTACCTTATAAAAAGGTATGGTTGTGCCAAAGGAGACCAGAACACTCCTTCAGCCTCTTTGAAAACGTCTTGTGACCAGTCAGAAGGATGAAGCTCCTGGCACTTTGTGGCTTTTTGTTTGTATGTCTCTTGTGCCTCAGTGCCTTTGCTGCAGAAGGTACAGTATATATTCTCCTCACACAACTTTCTGTTTTCCTGTTTGTTTCTTTTTTGATATAAAATGCTTATTCTCTATATTGTTTTTAATTAAAGGAAACAGAGCTTGACAGAAAAGGAGGATTGAATTTAGGAAAGGGCTTAGATTGCAGAATGTGGTTGCATATCAGTGCTTTGGTTTGTACTGTAGAGTTTCCTCTGTTACTGCCTGTTGCCTGTAGTATAGTGTGATTAACCTTTACTTTAATCTGTGTTCTGAAACCCACTCCTCTGAAAAAAATTCCTGTTACATTTTTCCAGGAGATAACCATCTGCCAAGGTAAAAATAATGTATTTTTGAATAGTGGGAAATGTGTTAATGGGAAAAGTTTCTACCCTTATGAAACAAAGGAACATGAATTGGTCAGGTCACTAGAACTGGAGTAAATGAGAAGTTCTTTATAAAACAGTGAAATAGGTGAAAGTAGATCTTCTGACCTTCAGTCTATCTTGACTTTTTTCCCCTTTGTTTTTTTGTTGGTTGGGGTTTTTTTTACCACTGATATTCCACACTTTAGTTGTTGTATTACATCGTGGCACCTAGTTACCATTTTGCAGTATTCCAAATTCAGAGAGCAGCTGAAATCTTAAAAACAGAGGATTTTCCATCTTTCTGTAGCCACATTTCTGGAGATGTCATTCTGTGTTTTCAGGAGGACAGTTCAGTAGAAATTCTAAATTGAATGGTGTAACTTCTAGAGTTACCTCTGCAGATTTGATGTTTGACATTGTAAATCTCAGACCTACCATGATTATTCACAGTGTGTATTTTATACAAGATGTAGAGAATGAATATGAGATAAGGAAAAACAAATAAGCTAAATGTTCAAAGGTCAGGAGAGGCAGACTTGCTATGCCTGATATTTTCTAGAAACCTTGTAAGAATCATTTTATGTGGAAACATGAGCATGGAGAAACATATGGAAGTTGTCTTTCTAATTGGTTAAATCAGTTAACTGGTTAGCTGCCCAGTTTTCTCACTTACTGGATTCTGCTCTGAATGGTAGAGCCTATTTGCCAGAGTGGTGGTACCTGAAGTCCTTCTGCTCCCTTTGCCTTTTCTGCTTCTGTTTATTCAGGTTTTCCATGCCCCTTGAGGAAGACTTAAGGAACAGTGCAAAGGATGTTGAAGAATTTCTAGGTGTGTGTTCAGGACCATAAAGAAGCCTGTCCAGGAAGGACAGGAGAGAAAGTAATACCAATAAAATGCAAATGAATACATGCAAGATCCTGTGATAATGTTCCCCTTTTGTTGATGTGCACCCTAAGGGTTTGGTGCTTCATTAAGGCAGAAGGTGGGGAGGAAGAGTACAAAGGACACTGTTCCTTATCTGTAAGCCCTGATGCACAAATAGAAGTACCTGGCTGTGCAAGATGAATGTATTTTTCATGTAAAACCTGTTACATCAGAGTTTAATTATAGTGACAAGACACCTCAGTTTTGATGCTAGATCAGCCACCATCACTAGCCTTGGCTGTAGAACTTGCTACAGGGATTTCCAGAAACACTGAGCATATATTAGATTTTGTTGATGAGAAATCGTCTAGCTCTGTCCTTTCTGCTCCACCTCAGCTCCAGAGTCAACCCTTCTTTTCCCTTTACAGTGTCCAGCACCTATTGTGTCAAGTGCAATCAATAGCTCACTTATATAGGTCTAGTAGGGAGGGAATTATTAAATGGCTTTGCTCACCCAAAGCAATTTAAACTACACTCCTCTTCATCTGGACACAGAGATGCTCTTTTTTCATCTTGGTAGTCTTTTTTATTTTCATTAAGTGGTGTAACTAAAAAGAGTGCGGTCTTTTCCCTAGGTTAAAATGGCTGGAATTTGTTGCTTGTACTGCCTGCCAATGTGACATTCCAAAGGATAAAGAAATCTTGGCAATGTATCTTATATATAAATATATATATGTATATATGAGTAAGGATGGAAAAGAACAAATTAGTTCCTGTTCCACACTAGGGACAAAGCTATGTACAGATTTAAAGATCAGTCGTGATAATCCTTTGTTTTACAGATCACTTCATACAAGGGTTTTAGTGGTAAATAAAGTAATCAAAATGTCTGTGGACTCTAACACATTTAGTGTGTATGTACAGTTATTTGCATTATCTGTCTCCACTGGTAACGAATTATTTTTCATCCTTAGGTCGGGAGGTTAGAAAAGTCTGCTGCTCAGTAGTACCCAAACACAACAAAAAAGCACATAAAGGTAAAAAGGTTTACAGTTTCATTACATTAATTAGGTAATCATTATTATTAGGTAATCTTTTCTCAGGCAATTTACTGAGTGTTTGGATTGGGAAGAAATACAATTAGAATAGAATCTATTTAATGCTCACATGGTAAAACAATCAAGAGAAATATGATCTAGTCTGATTAAAGGAGAGGAGTATCATAACATAGTTCCTCTGATAAGAACAGAGGTTGCAAAAGTGAAGTATGATGGTGGCTTTGCCTTGCTGTGTTCCATCACCATCTATATATACCTGCATCCATCTTCATGTTTTTAGAGATCAACCAAACTGTGATTCTGTAAATTCCTAAAATCCAATTTTCGCACCCACAGCTCTACCAGAAACAAAAATTAACTGAGACTGAATTTTTCCTAAATACGTGTGTGTGAAGACTGCCCAAGTAAAAATCCACAGTATCCCTGGTTTCAGTGAGACCCCAGTTAAAAAAAAAAAAAGCTAAGCCATGAAAAGTTCAGGATAAAAGGATTAGGTATACTCTTTAGAATAATGGCATCTTAAACCTTAATGTTTCTAAATTCAGAAAAATATCTAGCTGATAACTTCTGTTAAACACTAAAGATACAGAATTTCGTTTAAAACCGTCTATTTCCTATTTCTCATCTTTTCATCTTAAAATTGCTAATCTGAAGTTCCGAACAAATTTATTCTAGCTGATAAATTACCTTAAATGCTTTATTCTTTTTGTATTTTTGATAACCTAGGTGGAAATCCTTGTTTTTCTCTACAGTTTTCCTTTAGCTGGTGCCTTTTCTTCCTTTCCAATCTCCCAATGATGACTCATGGGCTCTGTTTTATAGACAGAGTCTCATTGGTATCAGAAGCAGTGAACACATTGTGGAGTTATTGTGGGTCAGGGGTTTATTGCTGCCTGGGGCTCCTTCTTATTTAATTGGCAGGTGTAGTAGCAACTGAGGACTTCAGCTATAAAGATAAAGGATCCACAGCACTAGCAGGTTCCCAGCCCATCCACAGGGACTGTGGAGTGCAATGCTGGAGGCACAGAGGTGGCTCCTGTCACTCCTGGCCTGAGAAGGATCACATATGCTGCCTGGCTGAACCTATACCCTTTCCATGGTACTGACACCTCATGCAGTGAGCAGAGCTGTTACTTTTCAATCTGAGGTACCTTCTGCTATCTGACAAAGAAGTAGGTGTTTCAGGCTTCTTTACATGCAACAGGCATGAAATCTCCCTGAAAAAAGTACATCCAAACAGAATGTTCCTCTGAAAGCAGGCTGCTGTTTCCTGTGGATAGAGTACAGTGATGCTGGTCTCACGGAGCAATGGAAAGTACTCTGCTGAAGGGAAGAAAGGAGTACAAAGGAAGCACTCAGTTAAAACACGTGAATCCACCACAAAGATCTACAAAGGGAATCTGAAATACCTTCCTCTGTTGCAGACCCCCTGTTAGACTCTGCCGTGTTTCTCTGAGTGCTACAACATCTCACTGTAACTATCTCCTGTCCTTACCTGCAGCCAAGCCTTTTTTAGGTCAGGGATTTCTGTCTATTTGCTTCTGTATAGGGTGTACCTCTCTGCTGCAAATGACTTCCTCAGTTCTGCTTATATGACAGTGCTTGTTCTGAATCAGTTTCTACTCTTACTGAGAGGCAGATGTAAAACTTTGCTCCTAATGCAGCAACTGCCCAAAGCTAAACAGTGTTTTGTTTCATGTGCAGTTCTGGACCTGAACTGTACGATGTTGGCTTTGCTTTGTGTTGTTGCTCTGGGATTTCTGGGTGACTTGTGCTTCCATGTCACTGTCCTTTCTAGGGGGATGTCACTTGGTTTATTCTGTCTTCAGGCAAAGTGCATAGACTGTTTTTCAGCACTGCTCTGCACTGTTCTTTGTGCTGGGCATGTGCCATGGGGAAGCTGTAAAGCCACTTAGTGGATAACTCAGTGTGCCTTAAGGAGAGAGTTAATTTAACCATACTGGCTACTTCTTCTGAAGTAAAACCACCAATTTCCTAGAATGCTGTTCTTCCATCAGTAACAATTACTGTCCTAGAAAGCAAATGTTTCAAGCCAATGTCAGCCTGTGGCTTCTGTCCAGGAAAGATGGAGAATGTGATGATAGTAAGGGGAAGATGCTGTTTAATGTGTCAGTTGTGGAATTTGAGCTCAAGAGAGACAGTAGTACCATCCCTGTGTTTATGAAGACCTCTGTCTGACTGTGGAAATGTCCAGCAACAGCAGCCTAACTTTCAGTGATTGTGTATCCTCAGCAACCTAATGAAAGGAAAACAAATCTTTGTCACATCGCTTTTTATTTCAGATCACTGCTAATCTAAGTTTGCCCATACAAATATGGCTGAGCTTCATGTATTAAAGTTTTGTGCCATTTTCCACACCCCCAATTAAAAAAATCTCTCCATTTTCTCTCTTTTCTGTCTTTGTTTTATAGGTGTAAGTTCCAAAATGACTCCAAAGAAAATAAAGAAATACTGCAGGCCTTGTCCTCAGTTTCTGGTGGCTCCTGGACCCCTTCCACAGCTAAAATGAGAAGACTGAGAGGAGAGGGAAAGGCATCTGCCCATCAACAGATCTCACAGTCCTTCACTTGATTGAGGGCCCTCCTTTCACAGACAGCACATGCGTGTATATTGCTTTTTGTTTGGGAAAGGCTTCAGTACTGTTTATTCCTTCACTCAGGCACCTTTGTTTTATTAATACTAACCTGGCAGTTAAAAAGTCAGCAAAGTTGTCTGCCTGCCACCAGACTTTGTATCAGTTGCATATTCCTCCACACCAAACAGGGATTTAGCTCCTCAAGTACCAGGAGGAGAAGAGCTGGTTGAAGAGGTGGCTAAATCATGTTGTTTTGCATTTCTGGGTTACCTAAAAGGTGGTAAAGGGCTGATGCTATTGTTTCTAGTTATCAGTATACATGCATATTTAACCTTTTCTATGAATTATTTATTTTGTATTAACCAAGGGGTTTGCTTGTATGTAAGCATATGATGGTTTTTCATCCAGCCTTTGCACGTGGTGTTTGCAATCCACTTAGAAGTAGATTTCTACAAATGAGAAAGATCTCATCATTTAGAAAGGGCTGAGAAATTGGATAAGCAGGTTGCTAAAATAATGGTAACAGACCAGATTCAAGTACATCTTCTGAGGCTAAATCTGACTTGAAAATCAAAGTGGCTTGTTCTTTATCTTCCTATGGAGTGTCATCAGGTGGTTATTAAACAGCATCCTGAAAAGGTGTTAAAGCTAAACAGATTTCATCTCTTCTTCTGAAGCCAGAAGGCAGCTGTTCTTTTAAGACACCTGAGTTGTGTGATCAACTCAATAAACAAAACTTACTGGAGCATGAAATAAGTGCTAAGAATAATACCAAAGGGCTGAATAACAGAGAAACTGAAGCATCCTCTGACACTTCTCTCATGTATCTTCTGTCCTTTCCTAACTGTTCTCTGCATATGCTGCTATTTCTCTGCCTGGGGGAGAGTCCTTAAAACAGAATTACTTGGTTGTTCATAAATCTGGTTTTCCTTCTAGCGAATATGAGGAGGAGTAGAAAGCTTTTCTGCTGCTGGGCAAATTGCAAACAGTAATTTTTCCCTCAGTACTCGTAGTACTACTCTTTCTCTTAACATAATTGCCAGTATGATAGAAATGGCCTCAGTGCCCTTCACAATTTGGGGGAGTTGAATGGGAACAGTCAGAGCCGTGTCATAACGCACACAGACAAATGCAATTCCCATGGGTCAAGTTTATGGGCCCTTACTCATGGTCCTGCTCTCATTGGCAATGTTTCTATTGTACTGAGCAATTGAGCCTATTTCTGGGTCTTCTGTGTGCTTGTTATTACTTTATTTTTGTATTGGTTTTGAGATTAGATAGATCTGACATTCAGCTTCCTATTTTTGAAGAGCTGACCATGCATAGCGTTTTTATATCAAGGATAAAGGAGCTGCCAATCCTCCTCACAAGATCTCTGAATCAGGAGGTTGGTGAAGGAACTGTTTCATTTTCTATTGCTGGTTATGAGGCCAACATATTTTATTTCTATTGTCTTCTATAGCTTGCAGAAGGAATCTGTAGAATATAAATGACAAGTAAATGTAAAAGCTTTTTTGGTATTAAATGTGGTTGCAGCAGGGTTTTACTCTGTAAAATATGGCTATGTGTTTACAGCTCTGTATAAAGCATTGTTAACAGGTTTGAAGATTTTGTTCTCCAATGTGAACTTAAGCCCTCTTATATCTGAAAATGCTGTATGATTTTCCTCTCTGCCCTACACCCTCCAACCAGTGTGTTTCACACTCTCCAATCCTCCTTCAGGCAAAATGTTCCCTCTGATAACAGAAACGTAAGCTACAAAGACCATTAACACAATTACAGAAATACTCTGGGTCTCTGGAGAGATCCCAGTACATAATTTAATGCACTTAAGTATTTCTCTAAATTACCAGATTGGCCTCAACCCCAGGTTGAGGGCTATTCAAGTTAAAGATGCCACTTGTGTGAGGTCCTAGTCTTGGCTGAACAAACTAAAGCAGGAATCTCCAAATTATTTCAGCATAGATTGTGACTGCTGCCCAAATGCTTTTTCACTTCATCTAGAGGTATCAGGATGTTGTGTGAAGTATTTCCTCAGCAGAGTTTGACTCTTATGTACCAGGCCATTTCCCTATGCGATAGAACAGAGGTACATCTGATCATGGTTTCACTTGTAAGCATCTATTCTTCCTTTTGTTTTCTTTTCAGTGCTATGAATATTTGTTTGGCATTACGAGAGGAGAAACATATTTGCTCAGTGGCTTTTCAAAGTACACAAGCTGTATGCTTATATAAAGTAGTAAATTTAGCTTATCCAAGCTGACAAATGCATTTTTTTGTATCTTGTGTTTTCGCATGCATTTGGCTGTCAGGCAAGAAAATTGCACAGCCTTTAAGTTCCAATAAAGATGTTTCTGAAGTATCTCTATGCCTGCCAGAACAGATGTTGAATCCTGGTCTGACCTTGTCAAATAAGTGAGCCAGGTGGCTCCTCACTTTGTTTACAGCTTAATACCACCAGCTAACACCAAATCAGTCTGTCTTATTTGGCACTGTGACTGTGAGTTGTCAGGAGCACAGGAGAAATGATCCCTGATGATAGGGAGTGTTGCTATAGAGGCAGGTTTGGGGATCTCTTTTTTTTTCTAAGGGGGTAGTAGAAGAAGTAAAAATATGTATTCTTCATACAAAATATGATCCCAAAAGGTGTGATGGGGGCTCTTCATGTTGGCTTTTCAGCCCTTTAGACTGTGTGGCCCACAACTGATGCAAGGGCCTGGGTATCCTCTAAAAATTCAGGAATTTGGCTCTGGAGAAGTTCTGTTTATCCAAAGTATAGACAACAGAGGCAATTTCTTGTGATTCTGTTTGCTGAGAAAAACTAAAATCCTACATGGATAATGTCATCTTAAATAATAAACTCGATTGAAATATAAAAGTAGAAGGATAGATACTTCTTGTTGTAGATATAGAGCTAACTCTTGCCCTAGCTGAGTGGGTGGCTTTGGTATTCATTGGATCAAGTCTGAAGACCTGCTGCCTGATCCTGTTTTGTCCAAATTTGTTGCTAATTACTCTCTCATGAGCAGCTTTAGGAAAATATTGTCAGACAGTGGAGGCAGATCAGATGCTTACACACTTTTTCCTCAAGTTTGTTCTGAAAAGAATTTATCCAAAGTTTGGCAATTTTTCCTCTTGTAGGTTGAAGGTCAGGGGAAAGCCCTCTTACACATCAGCCTTTTTTTGCCTCAGATCAACCAGTTCCTATTGGATGTAAGCAATCGTCTCCACCATAGCTAATTTCTCTGAAGGACTCATTTTTTTTTAATTGCTGTTGGGGAGCAAAGAGAGCACCCTTGTGCTACATTAAATGACGTGGGCAAGGGTGTTGGTTCCAACCCATGTATGTCTGGGGTTCCCAGTAGCTCTTCAGTATTATTTTGGCAGCCACTGGGTAACCTACCTTGGTTTTGAACACATAACTATCCCATCATGCTTTGTCTTTTGATCTCAGAGCAGGACTATTGGTACAGAAGGAATCCTCAAAAATTACTTCTGTTTTCAAGGTCTTAATGCTGGGGGTCTCTGCTAAAAAAGTTTGGTATCTGGATATAGATGTGTTCAAGTTGTCATTCCACCTTTGTGCCAACATTTGTTTGTGTGTTTCAGATGCACTGACTGTAAATATCTTCAAGTGGCGGGGGGCATTTAATTCCACATTTTCAGGCTCCACAAGGGAGCTCAGGATAGAGATTTGCTGTAGGATAAGCACCTTACGCTTCCAATGCCATCTGGTCAGCTTCTGAACATGATCAGAGAAATCAGGTCAATATGTGCCTATGAGTGATCCTCAACTGGACATGTCTTGTCTGACTTCTGCAATCTGACCCAATCACAGCAGTCTCTGTCCTCGCAGGAAGCTCTCATACCAAGCCTAGTTACTGCCAGACTCAGACTGCATCCGGGATGTTGGCTTGAGAGCTGATCCCTCCCAGCTGGCAGTACAGCACAGACAATCACAGGTGACGATTTAAACCTGATTTGGGAGGCATTCAAACCCAAGCATTCAGAAGTTCCATGCACACAAAAATGCCTGTTCATTAACTGCCTGAGAGGCGCTTGTACAATTGTTTACTTATGTTGTTGTGCACATGCATTTGTGAGAAGTGTAGTGCAGTCATAGCAACTAATATATCCTGGCTGATAGGGTGTCCTGGTGCAAAAGATAAACAGCCGCAGGGTTTCCCTCACCTGACAAGCAAGATGTTGTTTAGATCAGCGAAGAAAAGTGGTTTTCTGCTGTCATATTGTTTAGTCTTCAACACTGATGCCAACCACAGGGGGCGAAAAGCCATGTTCCTGAGGCACCACTTGGTGCTTGCCTGGTCTCTGAAAATCATGTCCCTGTAGCATGCTCTTACAATTGCCTCCCAAGACTGGAGTGCACTGGAAAACACTGTCTTTGGTAGGTGAGTTCTCCACACAAAACTTCCTGTTTGCATTGTTGCAGAGCCCTGTGGCACGGTCAGTGCCAGTTTTGTGGCATGTTCACCGAGCAATGCTAAAACCTCTTTGCATCCCAGAATTTTCACCAAGAGATCAATATGCCTGTGAAGAAAGATGTTTTCATACAGAAAAAAGTGTGAAGAAGTCCATCTGTTTAAGAATGCTATCAGAGAAACAGTGAGATGGCTGACAACAAGATTCTGTATGAGCTGAGATAATGCAGCAGTGTCTGCAAGTCCCTCTTTAAAGTGTTCTTTTAATGGCTTTCCAGTTGTTTATTTTTATTTCTTGGGAAGCAATAAATGATAGCAATTATCACTGAGCTCTTATCTTGAAGTTGTTTGAATGTACTAAGGTTAAACAATTCAACGTTTTCCTTTTACTTAGTTAAATATATACCAATACTGCTGCTTTATTCTGCAAACATCTTCAGGTGTGTGATTGAAGAAAGGAGAGATTTAAAAAAAAATTTGAGCTGAAGATTTGTCTGCCAAAGCCCTATGTGTGTCGTTGACCTTAACCTCGTAAGCTCCACCTTTGATAGTCTTTGAAAGGAACTGCCCTTAAATTTACATTTAAGCCAAGACTCAGCATTTTTGAAAACAGATCCTTCAGTCTCAGAAGTGAAGTTGACCTGCTTTTCGTAATTTTATTTAAAAATGTGCTTTGCACTTTTT